TGAAGTGTATGGGGACAACATTATCACTGAAGGTGGAGTGCATCAGTGGGTCATAAGATTTCAAAATGGCCGAACCAATGTTCACGACGAAGATCGAAGTGGGAGACCCAGCATAGTGACCGCCGAACTTCTCGAAAAAGTCGATGCTAAAGTCCGTGAAAATCGAAATTTCACAATAACGGAACTTTCTTTGAGTTTTCCACAAATTTCGCGAAGTTTGTTGCACGAAATCATCAGCGAAAAGCTTGGTTACCACAAGTTTTGTGCAAGATGGATTCCAAAAATCTTGACAGAGGACCACAAAAATCAGCGAATGGCTGCAGCGTTGAACTTTTTGGACGCTTACCATAAGGATGGTGACTCTTTACTCGATCGCATCGTTACTGGTGACGAAACATGGGTGAAACATGTGAACTGTGAAACGAAATTGCAATCAATGCAGTGGGGGGCACACAAGTTCTCCCCAAAAACCCAAGAAATGCATGCAAACAATGTCGGCAAGGAAGATGATGGCGACTGTTTTTTGGGACAGAAAAGGTGTAATTTTGGTGGACTTCCTGGAAAGAGGCACTACAATAAACTCTCAAAGGTATTGCCAAACTCTCCAAAAACTCAGAAGAGCAATTCAAAACAAGCGCAGAGGAATGTTGAGCTCTAAGATCTTGTTGATTCACGACAACGCCCGGCCCCACACGGCAAATGTCACTCGTAAAGTTCTTGAATCTTTTAAGTGGGAGTTGTTTCCTCATCCGCCGTACAGTCCCGACCTGGCACCGAGCGACTTCCACCTATTCCCAGCAATGAAGAAGTGGCTGGCTATGCAGCGTTTTGATGACGACGCACAGCTGCAAGAAGAGGTAACGAAGTGGTTGAAGGCGCAGGCGGCCGAATTTTTCGACGAAGGAATTTCCAAGCTCGTACATCGCTACGATAAATGCCTTAATTTGTATGGTGACTATGTAGAAAAGTAGTATTTGAGTGTGGCTTTCATCTGTATATAATAAAATTTGTTTCCTATACTTTGTTTATTTTTTTATTCCAAAACGTAATCTACTTTCTGGATAGCCCTCGTATATAATTTCTCCACCTTCCTTCTGGTAGCTTTAAGAAGATATATACTGTACAATTTTCAACTTAGAGAATTTCTTAAAAACAAAAACACTTTTTGATTTTCAATAACATTTTTTTGTATTACATAAATAATTTAACTCTTTCTCATTGATACAGTCCAAAATATGTCCTCCCCAAATATTGTATACAAATTTCAGTTGGAACAGATTTCCTTCCCATCTGACAAGCAGAATACCACAACATTAACGATAAACTATAAGGTATTTTCTCTCTTCTTTCTGCATGCCTTCATGGTGCAATAGCATATTCAGTGCATATTTGAGAGGTACAAGTTTGAATCCCTGCAAGGGCATTGCTTATTTTTCATGTTTCTTGCTTAAAAAAAAAAAATCCGAATGTTTCTATAGTTGCACCCAAACTAAAAGGTAGTAGATGATCATTCTTCACCATCAGGATTTGGTGATTGAGTCCCCTAATCCCCAGTCACCCTTTAAAAAGAAGAGCATATAAGGTGTTTTCTTCCTACTTTCTGCATGCCTTCATGGTGTAATGGTAGTACACTCGGCGTGTATTCAAGATGTCCACAAGTAAAGGAGAGGGAAGGTGCATTCAAATAAGACAGCTACTACTTCAAAAGAATGATTGACATGTCATTTAAAAAATCCTGAAACCAATGAGCTATGTACTAACGTGATGGGAAAAAGTATCAGGTAGAAGATAGATACAGGCATTCGGGCGACCTGCTTTTGTGTGAATGCACAGGTGATATGGACGACTTCACTGCGAAAGGGTTAAGATATTAAAATATTTTATTTATTCATCAAACATTTATTCCACAGTATTTTATAAGTATTATTTAACAACATAGCTAGCCTTGTAAGATATTTATTTGCAATTTAAAAGAAAAATTGGTGCAATTCTGTTTTAGGGACAATAAAAAATTGCAGCAAAAATATATGTGCAAATGTGCCAAATCTAGCAAACATGCCCATTTAACTGTGCGCTGATCTCAAAGTGCGTAAACTTACACTTCTATATCTGTACGTCGCTAGTGAAATACTAGTTTTGCTACTGAAATACTTTTTTTAATTCTTTTTAGATAATGTTATGGATTTAACAATTTGGGAATTGCCCATTGTCCAAAAGTCTGCAATAGAATTTTTTCAAAGAAAAGACATCATTCATGGTAGAAAATTATGTTCAAACAACCACGAGATGAAATTATGCTTTACCGTTAGTGGCGAAATGACATCGTCGATGAAAATGTTGCAGAGAAAACAACACAAGGAGAAAACTCGTGGTACAAAATATTGGGAGAAAACATCGCAAAGAGAAAACCGCAGTTCTAAAATATCGTGGTAGAAAATAAAGCTGTTCAAAAACTTCACAGTTTAAAAACATCGTCATCAAAAATATTCTGGTAAAAAATAAAGTACCTACAAATCATTGCATGATAATAACATCTCATACCTGCATTTTTCAAATCACATACTGACATATTATGTAACCGACTTTCATCATAGCTAACAAATTGACATAAAAAAAAAAAAATTGACTGCATGCTGTACATAAAAATGTTAATAACACTTTGGAACAAAGGAATGGAAACAAAACAATATGTAATTTTCATTAAAACAATATCAGATTAACTAATATGAAAAAAAAATAATTTGATCATTAACTAGGCAATTTTTAAAGAGATAACTTCATGTAGTTATTTATCTTCCTTTTTCTAAGCATTTTTAGACTGTATTTTTCATGAAAAATTATCAGTTAAACTTTATAAAAAAGTTTCCTTTTTTAATGACCTTTGTTAATTAACTACATAAATTTAAAATTCTATTAAGCATTTTAAGTTGCATTAATTTTCTACTCATTTTCAATATTTAAATGCTTAAGTTTCCTTCTTATTTTTTCAGAAAAAATTTATTAGTTCGTTCAAATATATGAAAAATAGAAGTAAAAGAATCCCTCGTTCCTTATTGCGCTCTATGAACTTTATACGAACATGCATTTACAATTTTTAAAACTTGAAAACACATGTGTGCAATGGATGTTATCATCATGCGATGATCTGTAGGTACTTTATTTTTTACCACGATATTTTTGACGACAATTTTTCAACTGCTTTATTTTTTACCACAATAATTTGTACCACGATGTTTTAGAACCACAATATGAGGGCCATCCAGGAAGTAGATTACGTTTCCGTCTGTGTCCGCTAGGGGCGGGGCTAGCGCGGCCATCTTGGGGTCAGAGCGTTGCGCAGCTCAGTCTGCATCTAGCCGTGCTAGTGAGAGGTTCGTGCTGTGCTCCGTTCAGATACTGTGACGGTTTGAAATGTCTGCATTAATTGAAAATCCCGCGAGCTGCGCTCAGTAATAAGGTTTCTGACTGCAAAAAAACTGTAAACCGATAGAAATCTATCGGCAGCTTCGTGAAGTGTATGGGGACAACATTATCACTGAAGGTGGAGTGCGTCAGTGGGTCATAAGATTTCAAAATGGCCGAACCAATGTTCACGACGAAGAGATCGAGTGGGAGACCCAGCATAGTGACCGCCGAACTTCTCGAAAAAGTCGATGCTAAAGTCCGTGAAAATCGAAATTTCACAATAACGGAACTTTCTTTGAGTTTTCCACAAATTTCGCGAAGTTTGTTGCACGAAATCATCAGCGAAAAGTTTTGATGACGACGCACAGCTGCAAGAAGAGGTAACGAAGTGGTTGAAGGCGCAGGCGGCCGAATTTTTCGACGAAGGAATTTCCAAGCTCGTACATCGCTACGATAAATGCCTTAATTTGTATGGTGACTATGTAGAAAAGTAGTATTTGAGTGTGGCTTTCATCTGTATATAATAAAATTTGTTTCCTATACTTTGTTTATTTTTTTATTCCAAAACGTAATCTACTTTCTGGATAGCCCTCGTATTTTGAACCATGACGTTTTCTTCGCAACATTTTCATCCACAATGTTTTTGCCGCAACATCTTTGGCAGACAGTGAATTTTTTTTAACTCCAACTGAAGACGAATCACAATACAGTCGTAGACTGGAACGGTTTCATGCATGAGGTGTGTGCCACAGCTTTAACTACTCAACCTAAGTTGAAAACTGGCAGATGTGGCAAACTTATTGAAGTAGACGAAAGCCCTTTTCAGTAAAAGAAAGAATAACATTGGACGTGTTCTTCCAAAACATTGGGTTTTCAGTGGAATATGTAGAGAATCAAATGAATGTTTCTTAGTCGCAGTTCCAGATCGATTGGTGAAAACCTTACTGAATGTTATAATGGAAAATATTGCAGAAAGAAGTATTAATTATACTGACTGCTGGAAATCATGAATTGCAAGATGCCAGTTTTGAACATTTTATTGTCAACCACAACTATAATTTTGACGACTCCGAAAGTAGGTGTCATATACAAACAGCAGAGTAGCTGCGGAGCAGTGTTAAACGGTGTAATAAATACCATCAGAGCAATGCTCAACATCGTTTCGATTCTTACTTTTCCAAGTTTATGTACAGATGTTTGCACAAAAAAATGAAATTTTGTCTGCTATGTAGGAAGACATAAAAAATTTTATACCTCCCGTTTAATTTCAGTTATTAATTTTAGCCTTTTTTTATAAAGTAATAAAAACATGTATCATATGAAATTAGGCGTTCATTTTATGTAAAATAATAATCTGAGATAGCCATTTACTAGTATGCTTCCACTAAAAAATATATTATATGAAATAAACTTTTCATCTAAATTAAAACAATAATCTAAGATAGTTATTTGATACTATGCTTCCTTTTCTACATTAGGGTTACCATAAATATTTTTAACAGCATTGGCATTAACAGTAGTTTGGCCATTTTTACGGGCCCTATAATGGAATTGTACTGAAAAATTTCATAAATAAATATGAAATATTTTACATACCTGATCAGACTTTTTGTCCTCAAATGATTTATTAGAATCTTTCAGTTGTAATCTAATAAAAATTTAAATGAAATTAATTTTAATAATAATTCAGTAAATAATTAAATGAATAGTTTTTATACAACATATAAAGCAATGGTTCTCAACCATGGGTGGATTCCAACTCGGGGGGGGGGGATTTCATAGTATCAAGAGAAAATGCGATCAGCCTTTTATTTAGCTGTCAAGTATTTAATTTTAATTTATGAATATAAAAAAAAAAAACTACTTTTACTCAAGTTTTGATATTTATCAACATTTTCCACACATTTTGTTGTTTAATTTGTAAAACATGTTAAAAAATCATCTAAATCTAGACATTTATTTTTTGAGTTTTGGAAAGGAAAAGAGAATGATCTTCAACCAAAGGTGAAATGGGCACATGGGGTAAAAGAGTTTGAGAACCCCTGGTATAAAGTAATAATCAAAATTATAATCATGCTCACCTCTGTGAATGTCGAAGATGATTATCATTTCCACGTGGAACATTGGACTCCTGTCCTTTTCTTAACGACACTGTGTTTTTACAAACAACTGGTGAAATTAATGAAAGACCATTAGTTTCACATATGGGGCTTCCACTTATAAAATGCTTGGTTTTTGTACTTTGAGGATTGTGTTTCTTTATTTTCCATTCTTTTGTGAGCTTCTTCATATCTAAGCACATAAAAGCAAAAATGTTAGTAAAATGACATATTTTACTTTGTCATTTTTCTGATTAACATTGCTTTTTATATCAAGTAAATCTGCGGCTAATCTTTGGAATATGGTAACAGGTAGTTTGGCGACATTTTGGTAGGCGATAAAGGTTACTACCTAGGACTTTGGGAATAATGTGAGAAGTACTCCACAGTTCCGATTACGCATTATTTTGTGTGAGCGAAATGAGAGATCATGAGATATGTCATGTGACATTTATGAACGAATTACAGTTCTTTAATCGGAAAAGGGGGGAAATTTGAAAAAATATCTGCAGTAGTCTTTATAGCATTTTATATTTAGGCTTCATTGCGTGTTGTGTGAAAGAGTGTTGCTTAATTTTTGGATCCCATGGCGCTATCTCTAAAGTGAATTCCTAAATTTTTATTGCGTTTATCTGATAATCCAAAAGAATTGCTTGAATGGTATATGAGTGTAGGATTAATTGCGGATAAGTATGAATGTCCAACATGTGGGAATGAAATGAGACTGTGTGAAAGGAAGGATATTACAGATAAGTTTGAATGGTGGTGCAAGAAATCTGGTGAAAATGGACATTTTGTGAAACGGAGTACAGTCAAAAGTCGTTAATTCGGACACCCATAATTCGGAATGATCTATAATCCGGACATCAAAACTAAAAACTTCCTGCGCATGCGCCACGTTGACACATGCGCAGAGGCGTTCACGCGTGCGCGTAAGACCTTTTACGACTGCGCATATGAGTGTGCGCAAGTGCAGAATACGTTTTCGCGTGCGCATTTTATGTATAATGGACGTATAAGCTAAAATTATCTAATTATCTATTTCAGTTAATGTTGATGATTGCGTTGTTCCTTAATTTTCGAATTGCATCCGGCTTATTATTTTTTGCAGACTGTAAGAGCAATTTTATAAAAGTAAGCTTAAACTTTCGATTATATCAAATAGAATTTCCGATATATATTTGTTAATATGTAAAGAATCTAAAGCGAAAGTATGTTTTGAAATCCGAAATCTGTTTATCAATTTCACGCTGCTCGGCGGCGGGCGCCTAATGAATTGGAATTTGTTTGTCAGCACTATCCTTATCTTCAGCGCAGATGTTTTTTTTTTTTATTTGGCTTATAATTCCTTACCAAATGTAGTATTTCATCTCGATATGCTCCGTCTTTGATATGATTTAAAACAAGTTCCTCATCATTATAATTCGCTTCCGATAGCGAAGAAAAGTGACAGAGGTTATTGAAAACAAAAAAAAAATTTCGATTGACAAATTAGTCGGTGTTCTTGACACAGCAATTATAGAGGACTTGAAACGGCGGAACTTTGTAAACTGAACAAGAAATTATGTCTGTTTAATAGAATTAAAGAGAAAGTATTATCACATGAAACGAAGCAAAACTTAAACAACTTACATTGAAAGAAATGTTTAATAAAGTAAACAAATAAATATTAAGCTTTTTCCTTTTTGCAAATTTTGATACCCTTTAGATCATAATTGTTCTTTATTTCATAAATTACGGTTTCATATTTTTATTTTAGAATTTCTGCATGCCATCTTACGAGATTTAAACTGATGATCTATAATCCGGAAAAATCGACAATCCGGAATCGCCGAAGTCCCGACGAGTCCGAATTAACGACTTTTGACTGTATAAGGAAGAGTACATGGTTTGCTGAAAGTCGTTTGAGTATGGGTGAAATTTTTTAAAATTTCTTATTACTGGGTGAATAGACTGCCAGTTGACTACTGGATTATCGAATCTATAAGAAAAGTTTATTCGCCATCAAGATTCTGAAGAAGATTAGGTAAGTTAGTATTTTTAATCATTTGAGGATATTATTTTTATGCATGTAAGGAATAAATAAATTAATATGGTATTATTGGAAAATTGTTATTAGCAATGAATTAGTTTAAAGTAATTAAGATTGTAAGCTAATTTTTATTAATTTAATGTATGTGCTTATTTATATTTTAAGTAGTGTTTTTTACTTTAATTATATTTTAATTTAATGATTGTGATTTTGTGAGTTATCTGTTTGTAGTATTTTGGAATACGTTTGAGTAGAAGTAAATGTGCATGGAAAGAACTTAAATATTTGACACTAAGTATTTGGAACCATTTTTAATGTTTGCGTTATAAATTTGCAGGTGATGTTTATAACAGATAATTTAGAGGGAAAAGTTTTTGGATATTTTATTTATTTTATACGTGCAAATGTTCATCCTTGGAAAGGGTATATACTTTTTCGCGATCAGGTAATTTCATATATGACCTTTTTACCGAATTTAAAAATTCACAAAATTTTCCTGCATTTTAGTGAAATTTTTCTAATTTATGAGAAAAAAGCAGTGCACATAGATATAGTGAAGAGTGTGAGCAATACCATTTTTGTGCAATTCTGGGATGTTTTTTTAAGTAAAAATAAGTCGACGTGTACATAGTTTAATTATATTTTAATTAAATGATAGTTATTTTGTGAATTATATGTTTGTAGCAATTTCGAATACGTTTCAGTAGAAGTAAACGTGCATGGAAATAATTTAAATATTTGACACTAAGTATTTGCAACCATTTTTAAATGTTTGCGTTATAAATTCGTTGGTGACGTTTATAATAGATAATTTAGAGGGAAAAGTTTTTGGATATTTTATTTACTTTATACGTGGAAATGTTCATAGTAGGAAAGGGTATATACTTTTTCGTGATCAGGTAATTTCATATATGTGATTTTTACCGAGTTTAAAGATTCACAAAATTTTCATGCAAATTTTTCTAATTTGTGAGAAAAAAGCAGTGTACATGGATAAAGTCAAGAGTGTGCGCAATGCCATTTTCGTGCAATTCTGGGATGTTTTTTTAGGTAAAAATAAGTCGATGTGTACATGGTTACTGTGTATGTGCGATTCTGAAAAACACGGCAAGGAGTTTGCAATTCTGCACTTTTTCCCAATTTTGCAGTTAATATTTGTCATGAGCTGTTTTGTTCCATAAAATTTCTAGCATAAGTGTAATTCGGCTAGCAGATTGTTGGAAAAAGTGTTGAGTAAATAAAAAGAAAAGAAACATGTCTTTACTTCGTGAAGACAAAATGGCGCCGAAAAAAAAAAGTAGAAGGTTGCTGTAGCAGAGTTGGTCGCCAAATTTTCGCCAAAAAATCGCCAAGTTACCATAATCCAAAGATTAACCGAATCTGCTTTTGTCATAACAAACTGTAATGGAACTGTGGAGTTCACCCTCTTTTATATTCATTCTGTTAAATTGTACATTGCAGTTTTAACTGTTCTTCATCAGTTGTGATCATGACAAATGTGCAGAGCTCAGGTTGTGCATGATGCTATGTTTGTGTAATTCTTTGGCCCTTTTTTTAGTGAAAAGAGATTGCTGTGTACATGGGGAAACACAGGGAGGAAAACACAAAACTGGGAAATACACGGAGAAAAAGAGTGCAAAAAAATTGCAGACGGGTTTCTTGAAAAAAGGTAAGTGTCTTATTTTTTTAATCAATGTAAAAATAAATAAATAAATGAATGGCACTAGATAGATTGTTAAAATAGATGTTAAGATACCCAAATAAACATTTCTTTCTGGAACTGGCTACAAGTTTGAAACTTTTCAGTAAGCAAGTGGACAGTTAGAAAATACCAAAATATCTGCTGAAATGCTAAATTTAATTAAATCCTTTAACAGTCTTTGATTTAAATGTTATTCAAAGCATTATGGAATTAAAATAAAAAAAGACAACAGAGATTATTCAGTATGTTCCATGGAATATAATTATTGTGCCAAATATTAAAATAATCACAGGCTGACAGCTCCTAAACATCCAGCACGGCATGATTAATGATATGGAATATTACAGCATCCTCCTATAATTTAGTTAAAAAATTAGAATTAACAGGATATTTCTAAATCACTTTTTTGCCTTAACACAATCAGACCTTACAAGGAGCTGTGGAAAAATTACCAACACCTTGGTATCATAGCATATAACTATATAACTTAATTAAGAGAAAACATCACCAGGAAAAAATTTAAAAGACCAAAATAAGGGGAAAAAAGAGAGAGTTAATTGTGCCTCACGAAGTTGGACACTTGGAGTTGCATTTTCTAAATGAAACATCCTTCCACTTCATGGCTTGAAACAGTAAAATTTATAAGGATTTTTCAGTTAAAAACAAACAATAAAAAATAACAGACTTTTTCAAATACGGAGCTTAGAAATCAAAATGTTTCTGAAGTTGAGAGAATTTAAGATGAAATCAAATTACTATTAAGGATCATTAAATATCTTTATGGAATAGTCCTTAATAGTAATATCAAAGAAAACAACAGCTAAAGTGCAGAATCGCCCACTTATTTGTTTGACGTTTTTTACAAGAGTGAGAAGAATTGGATTTTTGTCAATTTTCTTTGACTTTTTAAGTGACAATAGGTTGATGTGTACATGGATAAAGTCAAGAGTGAGCGCAATGCCATTTTTGTGCAATTCTGGGATATTTTTTAAGTGAAAATAGGTCGATGTGTACATGGATACCAAGTATGTGCAATTCTCAAAAACGCACCAAGCAGTGGGCGATCTGCATTTTCCCCGAAATAACATATAATATTAACTTTTGACCAATTATTATGCTAATTAACCCCTATCTCGATTACAAAATAAAAGCAGTATCTAGTTTTTTTAAACATTTGGAGTCTCACTCTGCTTGGTGAACTAGTGCTTTGTCCAGTAGCGTAACTAGAACTCTTGGGCCCCTATGCAAAAAAATTTGGTTGATCTTTGGATTATGGTAACTTGGCGATTTTTTGGCGAAAATTTGGTGACCAACTCTGCTACAGCAACCCTCTTTTTTTTTTTTTTTCGCCGCCATTTTGTCTTCACGAAGTAAAGACATGTTTCTTTTCTTTTTATTTACTCAACACTTTTCCAACAATCTACTAGCCGAATTACACTTATGCTAGAAATTTTATGGAACAAAAACTGCTTAATCATGACAAATATTAACTGCAAAATTGGGAAGGGAAAAAGTGCAGAATCGCAAACTCCTTGCCGCGTTTTTTAAAATCGCACATACACAGTAACCATGTACACGTCGACTTATTTTTACTTAAAAAAACATCCCAGAATTGCACAAAAATGGCATTGCGCACACTCTTGACTTTATCCATCTAAACTGCTATTTTCTCATAAATTACAAAAATTTTCACGAAAATGCAGGAAAATTTTGTGAATCTTTCACAACTCGGTAAAAAGCACATATATGAAATTACCTGATCGCGAAAAATTATATACCCTATCCAAGGACGAACATTTCCACGTATAATATAAATAAAATATCCAAAAACTTTTACCTCTAAATTATCTATTATAAACGTCACCAACGAATGCATAACAAAACATTAAAAATGGTTACAAATACTTAGTGTCAAATATTTAAATTATTTCCATGCACGTTTACTTCCACTCAAACGTATACCAATTCCTACAAACATATAATCACAAAATAACTATCATTTCTTAAATATAAATTAAACCATGTACGCATCGACTTATTTTTACTTAAAAAAACATCCCGAATTGCACAAAAATGGCATTGCGCACGCTCTTCAATAATCACGTACACTTACATGTTATGGTTACAAATACTTAGTGTCAAATATTTAAATTATTCCATGCACGTTTACTTCCACTCAAACGTATACCAAATTCCTACAAACATATAATTCACAAAATAACTATCATTTAATTAAAATATAATTAAACCATGTACGCATCGACTTATTTTTACTTAAAAAAACATCCCAGAATTGCACAAAAATGGCATTGCGCACGCTCTTCACTATATCCACGTACATTGCATTTTTCTCATAAATTAGAAAAATTTAACGAAAATGCATGAAAATTTTGTGAATCTTTAAATTCGGTAAAAAGGACATATGAAATTACCTGATCGCGAAAAAGTATATACCCTTTTCAAGGATGAACATTTGCACGTATAAAATAAATAAAATATCCAAAAACATTTCCCTCTAAATTATCTATTATAAACCTCACCTACCAATTTCTAACGCAAACATTAAAAATGGTTCCAAATACTTAGTGTCAAATACTTAAATTCTTTCCACGCACATTTACTTCTACTCAAACACATCAAACTCTATTTCAATTTTCTTCTATTCCAAAATACTACAAACATATAACTCTCAAAATCACGATCATTAAATTAAAATATAATTAAATTAAGAAACACTACTTAAAAGATAAATAAGCACATACATTAAATTAATAAAAAATTAAGCTTAACAATCCTTAATTACTTTAAACTAAATCATTGCTAATAAACAATTTTCCAATTAATACCAAATTAATTTATTTACTCCTTACATTTAGAACAAAGCATAAAAATATCCTCAAATTAATTAAAAATACTAACTTACCCAATCTTCTACAGAATCTTGAGTGCATGGCGGATCACAAAATGTCCATTTTCACCAGATTTCTTGCACACCGTCATTCAAACTTATCTATAATATCCTTCCTTTCACACAATCTCATTTCATACCCACATGTTGGACATTCATACTTATCCGCAATTAAGCAATTCTTTTCAATTACACAGAAATGATTACTTAAGACTTTTTGTGTGTGTGCGAGAGACAGATTTTTCTCTCCTTTCACTGAGATGCATACTGATAATAAATGAATAAGTCTATATAAAAAAAAAAAAAGGGAACATGTCGACATATAGCCTTAAGAAAAGGAAGAAAATATATCTACTGATTATTCAATTATAATGTGAATTATACAGAAACAAATTAATATATAAAATAAGTACTTTATAATAAATAGTTACAATTAATTTCCACTTCCTCCGCTTTTTGATTTGGGATTGCAAAAGGAGAAACCTTTCCTGTAGGGGGTCGCCTTTAATAATTTTCAGGTTTGAGACTAAGGAATACAAAGAAACTTTTCCTATTTTCCGCTCACTGCTATCTCTAAACTGGGGTAGGTCATGAAGTTATTATTTCATAGTCGAATGCTGGAATTTCAACTTTTGAAAACACTTGAATTTAGTTGTTTCAGGTGCTTCCAAGGGCCTCCTATCTGCGTCATACAGAGAATTGCATTACTGCACCATATAGGTAAGGGGAGCTTAAAAGCTTAAAAGAAAATGAATTCTATTATCTACATATACTTAAGGATTCTAAAGCTAAAAGTAAATTGGAATCAAATGAAGGCTATTCCTCAACTATATTAATATTAAAAATCGTGCAAAAGAGGTTTAACACAAAATCAAAACATATCAAAATTAAAATAAGAATTTATAGTAGTATAAATTCTAAAAATAAAAATGAAAAGCAAAAGGAAAAAAAAATACAAGATATAAAATTAATTATTAATCTTCTTTTACTGAAATTCTAATTCCGAACTAATCAAGGTGGTGTGGTGTATTGAGAATACGGCAAAGCACACGAGGGCTATCTGCCTAAGGGAAGGGATGCCTTCGTGGAGGACTTTCTAAGGGAAACTGGCTCGTATACACGTTACACATGGGAAAAACCACAAAAATGCCCTTGCAGCCAGCCCGTTCGCGGGATTCGAACCTCGGACCGAGCTACCAGTATTCAGCGATTTTACCGCTCGGCCGTTAATCAAGGGAAAATGAATTAAAGTTTATATATATATATGTAATGGAATCTGCCTTTTAAGTTTAAACATGTAAATGTAGTTCAGCAGGACATTTAAGGGCCCCCTAAGCATTCGGGCCCCTATGCGACGGCATTTTTTGCATACCTTATTTACGCCATTGGCTTTGTCTTGCATAACAAAAATTTGCATTTTTTGTAAACTGAACAACTATGTTATATGAGAATTATCTTTATCTGTTGATCCAAACATTATTAAAGAAAATATTTGGCTTCCTTCATATAAATAGAGCATACTAAGAAAAGCAAACAGTACTAATAATAGCACAGGAAAATTCAGATTTGTCTCTCAAAATCTGCGAGTAATAAAAATGGCTAAAGTGCAGAATCGCCCACTTCTTTGATTGGAGCTTCTTACAAGAGTAAGAACAATTGGATTTCTGTCCATTTTCTTCGACTTTTTAAGTGAAAATAGGTAAATGTAAAAGGAAATGAAAATAGGCAATTTCATTTAAAATGTCTTTGATTTTTAAGTGAAAAAGGGTTAATGATAAAGACAAGGGAGTGTGCAATGTCATTTTTGTGTAATTCTGGGATGTTTTTTAAGTGAAAATAGGTCGATGTGTACATGGATACCGAGTATGTGCAGTTCTTAAAAACGCGCCAAGCAGTGGGCGATTCTGCACTTTCCCCATAAGAATTTTCAGTTTTTTAAAAAAAGTTACGGTAATTAATCAAAGAAATCAGAAAACTCAATTTACAGTACAATTTTTTATGCTTGTAGAACTTTCATGTCATAATAACACTGTTTGTTGAGCAAAATTAAATCTCTTTGTGCTGTCTAAAATTTGATAACCAGAACCCATTCTTGCTGAAAAATTGTTTCGTGATTTCTCAGATCTTTGAAATAAATGAGATTCTTCCGAAATCTTCCCCAATGGTTATTTCTCAAGGCAATTAGCTTTAATATAACTTTTCTAATAGTTACTTACCTAGATTAAATTAAAGGTACTTCCTTTACAAATGTTTCTCAAATAATGTTTTCAAAAATAGCAGAAATTATTTTAAATCCGTTGCCACTTTAAAGTAAAAATTATATACCACGCCAACACGCAGTAGCCTCCAAGCAAGTTGCCCTGAATGTCGCTGCTAATAAAAGGTGGGGAAAACATTTTCATAATTTGAAGATTTTTCTAATTTAATACTCTTTACTTCATAAGCAAACCGCAAAAGCACGAATATTTTTCCGAATACGTATCCCGATCTGCTACTACGGATAATCCCTTAGGAAGGGCAAAGTATAACGGCTGTCTTCTTAGAGGAAGTACGTCATCGAATGACAAGCATGGACCTTCCTTATAAGAAATAGAACGGGTTTTCTCACTTGTCTGAGGTCCTCTAATATAGGAGCCTTAGTATGAGGCGTTGCCGGCTGTCACCTTGTCACATCCGGAGGAGTAGGGACGACTTGCAGAAATTTAATTGGTTGCCTATTGCAGCGTGTATAATTAACAAGAAAAAGCTGGTTTTAGCGTCTCATTTCACAAATTAGAATTTCTACATAGTTTTATTTTTGAAATTGAGATTGATTTTTAAAAATTTAGCATATTTATCAATCATAATTAATGTTCCAAATAATTATAAAGCTATTGCATGCTTTCAGGACTGGATATTTTTTTAGCTTTTCCTATGCTGTAAGGAAATTTCTAACTACTTCTTTTAGAAAATAATATTTTAAATCTGAACTAATAGAAAATTTCAAACAAGCAATTTTCTCTTGCAATTTTTATGCTTTTTATTGGTTTAATTAAGTAAAAAAAAAAACTAAAATATTAAAAAACGGATTTTTGAAAGTTGTGTTTAAAATTCTAAATTGTGCTGCTTTTTTAAAATTATAGATGAGTATTATAGCACAATTTCTATAAAGGAATTTTATTTCAATCATATTTCATAATACATCATAGTGATAAACTCTTTTGACACCTTAAAAATGTTTATACATTTAATTCTAATATTAAAATTGTATTTAACCGTAATAATTAATATTGCTTGTATTTTATAGTGATTACTTTTTTTAATTTATTTTTAGTTCTGCATAAGATTTTTTTTTTATTTACTGTTAATTTAATTTATTAGCCTAAAGGGCCGGTAGCCTAGAAAGTCTGTTAGTTTCGTAGCGGCATTTTGCGCTCTTTTATTATAAATGTCCGTGTCTCCCTGCAAATTGTTGTTACCAAATATTATCGCCCCGTATTATATGTAAAGAAACTAAATCATGAAGAATCTGCATGAATATAATGTATGTTTCTCGCATTGTGACAAAAATGACAGTATCTAGAGCCATCAAATTTTGAATAATGTAATCCTCCACCCGAACATGGCCATCTGGACGGCCGAATTTCGAATTTGTTTTAATCTATTTCATATTTTGTAAAACTTTAACGAATTTTTAATTAACAAACTCAACGAGTTCAGAGCAAGCACTGTACGGAAAATAACAGTTTTATCTCCAGTGCGGAAATTCTAAAGATATGCTGTTTTCAAATGTATGTGGTTTACGGGCGAAGAACATGATATTCACTAAATATAGGTAACACACAAAACTTTAAAAAAAGGTTCCTTTTGGGCGTAATATAAAATATGAGTGCTTCTAGATTTTATTTTATCTTTTTTTTTTTTTCCTTCATTACGCTCAGAAAATTTTTCTCCGAATTTTATGAATTATTAAAATAACTAATCCACTTTACTGTTAATAATTTAATGATGATATAATCAAATAAATATGATCGTTTTGTAATGTTATTATAGTTTGGAAAATCACTTCTTGAAAATGTTCATTAAATTAAAAAAAAAAAAAAATATCAGATCTTGTTTAATTTTACCTTATTTATTTCAAAGCATCACGCACTATCAATCTTATTTAATTTTACTTTATTGTTACACAAAATTAAGTTTATAAATTTTGTGTTTAGAGCTTTTACTATTTTACCAAAGTAAAGATGTTTGTACAAGAATTATGCGTGAAAAAATGCGCGAAATGCAGTAAAAAAGTGCTTTAATGAGATGTATTAAATCCTATTTGGAAAAAAGTGTGGCTTATATAATCTCATCACTATATAACGTATCACATTTAATAATTAAGAGTTATGTGATTCAGTGTTAAAGTAAACCAGATCGTCCCTACTCTTTCTTGCCGACATGTAGGTGACGCGCGCCCCGCCCACTGGGTTTGTCTATCTCTTATAAGGGCCATGATGACAAGTAAATGACCTGGTCTACCATAATTTAGCTGTTTGTCCCTATTTTGGCGTTAAGACTTTTCTCCAGAGAATATCTGTAAATCTTCACCGTCGACACATGGTTATGTGATGGGCGTCAACCAATTAGAATAAGCTACCGCCGTAGACTGTTTTTAGCGACCAATTTTTATGCCAGCAATTGAAGGGTTTGTTTTGGATTTATTTTCCGCTCATATTCCTCTTTTCGTATCTTTTGATTACGTCTTTTTCGCATCAATTTATAATAGTTTTCTAACTTTTATTGCTATAAAAGACAATGTAGTGAATACGAAAAATTCGGTGGATTATCACGTGAAATGTGTAATAAAATTTCTAGCCTGTTCCCGCAAAAAAAGGTGTACGGTGTTGTATCGCAAAAGTTTTGTACATTTCACTTTATTTTGTGGCACTGAAAATTACAGAAAGAATTTATTTTTTGATCATCAAGAAAAAAATGCACATGAAAAAGGCTTATTAATTTGGCCTGTGCAGAAGATGTGTTGCTTTTTTCTTTCTTAATATAGATATATATATATAAGTATTTATTAGGTACTCAAATTTAGCCAAACACTCAAATTTAGCCACATGCAGAACATATATATATATATTAGAAGATTCCTAAATAATAATAAATAATTTGATTGAACTTTTTCTAAAATGCATTACGTTTTGTGTGTGATATTTGATTTTTAAGAAATGTAGCATGTTGAATAAATTGATAGTAAAAATCTCAAATGTACTGTTTTTTGAAAAGGTTAATATGAAATTTTATTAAATTGTTTTGTTTATCTAATAAAATCTGGAATTCTTTCCCAATTTCAAAAGAAGGATGTGTGAAGGATTAATGCATGTAACAAATAGATTTTTAGAAAAAAATTGTCATTAGCATAACATGTAAAATGTGTTTTATGAGGAATGTAAAATGGGAAGATCTTTATAATGTATTATATATAGATAATGCAGTTGATTAATCATCTGAAAAAGAGCCCATGAATGGTAAGACTGCTTGAACACTGATAGTTAGGTTTATATCCTAACTATATATTTTGGACACCTTTTGCTTAGCTTATCTGGTCTGATGATCTGTATAAAATGGTAAATGAAAAAAAAAAGTATTTGTACCCAATATTAAGTCTGATCTGCAAACAAGATTACTGTGGCTGCGGAAACCGACATGCCAGTGAAATTGTATATGTGTCGTGTAGATATTACACAAAATACATCAGCTAGAGTACTCTTATCAAGCAGTATGGGGACAGGTACCATATAACCAAATATGTACATATCAAACATTTGTAATTATGTATTTTAAAGTTATAGGCTTCCAATACAATTAGAATTTATATTTCTGTAATACTTATTGTATTTCAAGCCTATAACTTCTTCTCTGTAACAGTCTTCTGTGAAACATACTTATTTTGCTTAAATCTACTTCCATTTTTAAAGTACTTTATTTTGATACAACCCATGGTTTAGAAAATTAATGTTTCTGACATTCAAGAGCAGATAAAAAGTCATACTTAACTGACAAAAACATATAAAATTAAAGTAAGGCAAAAATAGCAGCTTAACATAAAATCTTGTGTCAGTTTTAAGAAAATAACTGACGTAGGTCCCTCTTCTTCAATAAAAATGAAAAAAGGTTTTTTATTCCTGGCCTTTTGAAGAACAGATATCAGATAACACTCAAAATTAATAAGAATTATACAAATTCTGTATCATTCTAAGCCTTCTTGATTTATTTTAATCTTGAAATTCATGACCTGACAAATTTTGTGACAACTTTATATTTTTGAGAACCTGGGACCACAGGTGGATTTGTTCGAACAGCATTCCAAGTTCTTCGATTACATGCTCGAAATGACTCTGCATGAAAAATTTACAAATTAAATTAATCAGAAGCTTTAGAAAGTGAAATCTAATGCACTCAGTAAATTTGTTTTTTCTGTGTGAGGAAATCAGCTTTTTCATTACCATCAGTTCTACAATGGAAATGAGCCTGCTTGGCAATTAGTCTGAGTTGAAAGTGTCTTGAAATTTCTAAAGATGTCTGCAAATATAGCTTTGATATATATACAAGTGAAATCTATTTAGCCTATTCTTAGTATCAGTAATATTAGGTGTTTTCAACATTAAATGGGGTACAAAAAGTCCATTATGATATCTTCAGTGATGAGATGTACGAAGTTTGCACGCGTCTCCTTTGCTCAATTTGTCCTTTGTTCTTTTTGTTTGCTTATTACTTATTCCAGGGAAAAACGTCTTGCAATGTTGTTACCGTACTTTAACATACGTTAAATTTTACATTAAAACATGAAATATAAATAAATTATTTTAGGATTTCCATCGAGATGGTTTTAACATGAAAACTGCATAATGGAATTCCTAATAGTGTAAAGGAAGGTATAGTTATTATAAAGACTATTAGTATTAATAGAGGTGAAGCTAAGCAGGCTTTAAGCTTAACGAAAAGTGTTTCCACAATAAGACCTTCTTTGACTCACATGAAGTTTTAGATTTAAAGACAATGCTAAATGGGGAAACCTTTAGCAAAATAGAAAATTTTTGAAAAATCTCTGCTGGTTCTTAAAACCTTACAAATGATCAACTGATGTGAGAAGAAAAGTGAGGGGCAACTTCTGGCACAAATTGTGCACATCATGAAATTTATTTGCTATTTTATGTAATTTCCATGATATTTCTTATTTAATTTTTTTTTCATGCACAGTTTACTATTTGTTTTTCCGTTTTTGTAAAAATTAAAACATTTAAAAATTAAACATAATTTGGTATTTTG